CGGTCTGGACAGCATAGATGGAAGAACATGTTCTTGCTCATGGAAGGATAGAGACCAAAGGTCACAGACTTGAGGTCATTCATAAAATAAGCAATTGTGACATTAAAAAAATGTTTCATGCAGCGAGTAAGTTTTTAAATCTAGAATGCACTGCCTGAGTGTTGGAGAGACGGATTGAATCGAAGTGCTCAAGTGAAACTGGATTATTATTTGAAAAGGAAGAATGTGCAGAGCTATAGAAAAAACTGGAAATCACACTAGGTAAATTGCTCCTTTAGATAGCTAGCACAGACATGACAGGCCAAATGTTGTCCTTCTGTGCTGTAACCATTCTGATTTTGAGAGAACATTCTAAGCGATGTTGTAATACTGTAGTAGGAAACATTGTTATGTAACTTCTAAAGATATTGTTCTAATCCACGTCTACTGCTATCATTTATAGTACTTGAAGATCATTTACTCGGCAATATATACTTGCCAAGGTGGCTGAAGTTCTACTGTACATTGATAATAATGTAGAACCAATTAATATTTCAATGCAGAATTTAAAGATTCAAGAACTTTCAGCTTTCTAGCCAGTATTTATGCCTTTATATAATGCAAGAACTATTCTAACTTAATTTAAATTACCGAATACTTTGCAGTCACCCTGTTTGTTGGCATTGCTTCATTGCTAAGGAAAAGATCCTTTTTTTTTTTTATTCATGCTTTATGTGCAGTGAATTTTCTCATTAACTAATGTATGTGGCTCTTATGGCGCTGGGGTAGTGTCTCTATCCCTGGATGGGGAGGCCTGGGTTCCAGTCCCACCTGCTCTAGAGGTGTGTAATAACATCTCTGAACAGGTTGATTAGAAAAATGGGTTAAATTTTATTTAAAATGTGATCCATGAGAGAATTTTTTTCTTTATTGGAATTACCAGGTAAACAAATTCATTTGGAAATAGCATGGAATTTATTTCAATTCTAAACAGCACTGCTAAAGGAACTCACTATTCACTACTTACCAATATCTAGTCACCTTTTTAAAACCAGTGGTCAACTTTTCATTTTAATGTTCCACGTGCCGTCAAGTGTTTTTTTTTTTTTTTTTGTTACCAGCCTCCTGAGGTAGCACTTTGGTTTTTTTTTTTATTAAATTTTAAACACTCTTAGCAATACTTTGCAAAGTTGCTGCTCTAATTGCCAGCTCAGTGGTAAGATTCTGTAGAAGCTTGAGTTGAAATTCCCCTCCAGTGACTTGTAAAAATAATTCAGGCTAACAATTCAGCACAATAGCAGAGATTCTTCTTCAGTATCTACAATTACTATGTTTAAGAGACGTTTGGCTGGAAAGATGAAGAATAGGAAAAGTTTGGAGGAATATAGGTCAGAAGTAGGCAGGTGGGACTAGTTCAGTTTGGGATTATGTCTGGCATGGACCTGTTGGAACCGAAGGGTCTGTTTCTGTGCTGTATGACTCTATGTATTCAAATGATTGTTGAGATGAGTTGTCTTGAATTATTTGAGCTTATTTGTTGTATCTGATGTGATTTTAAACTTGGTTCCACAGACTAGTATTACAGTAGAGGAAACTGTGACATTTGGCTCTAAATGTTTTGATCTAGAGAGAGAAAAGTCTGCATCAAGCAACATGTTAATTTTTTCGGGTGTATTTTCACCGTGACTTTGTAACTGGAAAAAGTCCAGGCGCAGTCAAAGCAATGTGCATGATTAGCCAGCAGATAAAACTTTGAACAATTCTAAGGTGTCTGTAATAGTCTGGATACATTCGGGCAAGAAAATATGAAAGAAATCTGTGTTTGAATCTGTGACCATGGGAATTCTGATCTTTTGGCTTCTTAAAAGATAACAATTTGCTCAGTATAACATCCAGTTTTAAATGGGTGGTTATTAATGAGCATCCTCCTGCCACGTCTGTTTTATCTTTTAATCCCTTTTGCAGAATTGGTGGGAAGTGTTAGGGGGATTAGCAGGCTAATATATATCAACCTGTTGAAATATGTTAGGAGTGCACCCTCTGTCTGGAGTGTGAGTTGAACTTCTGGCTCAGGCAGCTGTACTACCCACCAAACTGCAAACCATCACCCCTTAGTGTTAAGTGGATGGTACTAATGTATTGTTCTGAAAGCTCAACAAAAATTGTCCGAAAGCTCAACATCTGTATGAGAATACTACACCAATGCTTAATTTACTAAAGCCCTACTAGAAATAACTCTGTTTGAACAATTCTTAATTCCATCAATTTAGTTTTGGTGAAGGGATGATCGTTTGAGATTCTTGTACTAAATTGTTTTGCTCATAGTTTTAACTTTCACTGATCTTTTTTTTTTCAAGATACCTAACGCAATCTTTAAAATGTTTAGAATATTCCCACTGTTTTACAATAAAATTTTTATGATCAGACATTTCTCCCCACCCAAGAAATTAATCCTATTTCTTGGAATTTTACAAAACAAACATAATGTTTGTTTGTAGAGGTATTACATTCCATCCTCATTTTTCTGCATTACCATTTTAGACTTGTTAACCTTTTTTATGCATAATTGTATTGAGATTTTAATTTTGTTTTAGTTTTCCCATCTTTATCTTTCAGACAACAGTTATTGAAAATCATGCCCCTCTACAACCTGTTAAAACCATTACTCGGGTAATGGGAGTTTACAGCTACTTTGAAGATTGTTTAAATTAATATATACTTTTTCTGAAGGTCCTAAAATATCAAAGCACGACATATTGTTAAAGTAAAATAGAATCCCAACAGTCAGAGTAGTCAAATGCTTAGCACAAGTTAAATTGGGATCTTAATTTAGTTAGGAACAAATTGTGGAGAAGTCCTACTGATGCCAAAATTTCTAACCTTAGAAGGTTCAAATATGAAATTGCTGTTTTATAAAGTAATGGCTCTGAAAGGGTTAATGTTGGCGACTGCATGAAATTCCAGCGAATCTGATTCTGTCATTCTGGTTTAGGTGGTGATAAGGCCGAATATCTTAAAATCTCATGGAGTGAAAAGCCTTTATTTTTGGCACTGAACTTGTTCTGACATTATGACACATCTCTGGAGCAAGCAGGACTTGATTGCAGATATTCAGGCCCAGTGATAGGGACACCACAACACCTGCACTATTACAGACCTTGTGAAGTGTTAGTTTGGATCCTAGTGGAGCTACTTACAAGTTCACAGATCTCCTTATCATCTAATGAACTGAAGTATATATTTATAGTCAAACTGTTTGGACATGCCTCTAAGACAGGTGAGGCTGGAACATGAAGCTTCTGGCTCAGAGGTAGGGTCACAGATTCCAATGAACTAATGTATGGTGAAGAGCAATGGGTGTGTCCAAATGGGGTGTGAATGGCTGCATGAAACTCGCTGTAGTGCTAGTGGCCGGCCTTTCATTACAGAAAGAGACAACTGATGGTGAGTTTGAACTGAAGGTTACCAAACCTCAGGTGAGATGCAGGGTTGAGAAGGTGACCTCCACCAGTACACAAACTGAACCCACATTGCTGATGTTGTTCAGCATTGTATTGCAGCTGTCTAGCCAACAGAGCTCGCTAATTCCCAACAATGATGAACTACAATGTAGAAGTTTTCTGACCAACCTGTTCCGAGATGGTGGTGCATGAACCGACACCTTCTGGCCCAGAGATGAGGACTTTACCACTGTACCACGAGAAGCCTCAAAAACTAATATAAATTTTCTAACTGCTATCAATCAATAACCTGCATCTTGTTGAGACTTTAGAGGATGATTATCTACCGCTGTCGATGAATCAGGCCCTTAGACATGGTCAAAGGAAAGAAGGCAGCATCATTTTACCCTCGCACACCAGAGTTGCCTCATGGTTGCCTCAGCTATAGTTTGTAGCTGGAAAAATCCTTGCATGAAATGTTTCTGAAACAATATATTAAGCATAATTTTAAGATGACCCCTTAAGATACAAATTAAAAGACAAGTTCTTAAACATTTGTGTTTTGTAAATTTTAAGATAGAGAAAGAGCTCCTTGCTAGTAGTTGCAACATAGATTGATCCTTAACCTCAAGACAGCATTTTATCAACTGTAACATTATGACTTATAGTCCAAGTAAAATTGATCTAATTGGTAATCAGTGAGCAAATTTTCATGGGTTGGACTCAAACCCAGCACAGTCAGAAGTGGAGATATTCAGTGATAATTAGAGTTCAATTCCATTTATGACTCCTCGGATAATAAAGCAGTTCAGCAAGAACTAACATTCAGGCTTAGGCTGATGATGGCCTATAACATAGCACACAAGTGCCAGGCATTGACCATTTCGAAAAAGAGTAAATTTAATGATCTTCTCTTGACATTGATTGGCATTACCATCACTGAATCCCCCACTTCCAACATCCTGGGTCACCATGGACTAGAAAGCTCATTTGGACCAGCTATATAAATAGCGAGACTGGGAATTCAGTGTTTTACTCATCCTGATGTCCTAAAGCTTGTCTACAAGGCACAAGCCACAAGCGACAGATGAGTCCAGCTCCAGTGCACTCAAGAACTACAACATCATCCAGAACAGAGCAGCCCACTTGACCCACACCCCAATTACACTACTGGCTACAGAAATTTGCCCATGGTTCCTTTGACAGCATCTTCCAAACCTATGACCTCTATGTTTCTGAAACAATATATTATGTGTAATTTTAAGATGAACCCTTAAGATACAAATTTATTGATTTTTAAAAAGCCTGTTACTTGTAAGTAACAAGTGAATGAGAGCACTAGTGCATGCAGTTGTCCCTTTGAGTAACACCACCTCGACTTTGAAATTTAGCACCTATTCCTTCACTGTCGATGGATCACAATCCTGGAACTTTTTCTCTAGAAGTATTGTCTGCATCACATGAACCACAGTTCATGAAGGTAGCTCATCACTGTCAAGTGTAGTTGGGGATGGGCAGTGAACGTTGGCTTTGCTAATGAAATGTGGAGTAGTCAAATATATTTCTCCCCCCAACACTAGGTTCCATCTGAAAAAATCCTTAGAGCTGCAAAGGTTTTACGGAATGTGATACTATCCCAAGCACCTCACATGATTAGAGACCGGAAATACCACCTGAAGACCTACAAGTGAGTATGGTATTGATCATTTTTGAAATTTAAAAGTTTTTTTCACTTTAGAAGTGTTTCTGTTTAAACGAAGAAATAAGTATGTATATACAGTTGATTTAAATCTGTTAGCATGTGTGTCAAAGTTGGGAATTTGGGAATAACAAGCAGTTAGCACAAGAGTAGAAGGATCCAACCCATTCCCTTCTTTATTCCCATCGTTCACCTTGCCATAGGGAGTGCGGACCTCCGTCTGGTGCTCCAAGTAGGTGAGAACCCTTGTTGCAAACCTTGTATGCGACAACTGTTTGAAATTTGTGGATTTGGTGAAATTTGGAAATGGTCACCTGCTTTTCTGTTTTGACAGCAAAAGATGGATGTGTAGCCAAATTACTTGAAAGAATGGAAGAATTTCACACATTAAAGAAACCAATTACATATTACTCTTTTTTTTTGACAGTTCAATTTTCATATTTTTACTACAATACTGGTTAATCTCGTGGCAATGAAATTAACAATAAAATTTTGCAACCTGTACTCCTAGAAATGGGATCTTCATCTCAACAGATCAATACAGTTGAGTTTTAGCTCCACTCTAGCCTCCTCCTACCCTTGTTCAACTAAGCCCATCCATCTGTCCTTCCACAGTTTGCATCACCCCATACCCAATACGTTTTATAGTTTTCCCCCATAAATACATCTATGCTATTCACCTTAACCACTCCCTTTCGTCTTGTTTTATATTTTAATCATTCTCTAGATAAGACATTTCATATGCTACTGGATTTAATTGTGACTGTTTCAGTTATGACCTTGAGTTCTGATTTCACTTCCAAATATATCTTATCAAACATTATTATCTTAAAAGATAGCCTTTTAATTTTAAAATCACCTCCACCTTCCTTCATTCTGCAAGAGATGCGAATTTAATTTTTTTTTTCCGGAATTCTAGGAATTTTCTAGTAATGTTTTTATATCTTCTGCAGCCCTTTTAAATTGTGGTAATAGTGTAGAGACCAGAAGTTTTTTAAATGTGGCCTAACCAAGGTTCTGCACAAGTTCACACCACTTCTGTTTCTTCTGTTGTATCCTGCTAGAACCGAACTGCAGTGCTTTGCTTTTCTTGTGACCTTACTAACCTCTTGCTTTATGTTCATTCCTTACTGGTGTTTTTCCTAAGGTGTGCTCTTGGCTTGTTATCAGCTGATGCTTCATCCTGAGCCTTTTCTTTGACAAATCTTGATGTGTCATTGCCTTCCACACTGGGGGCAAAACAAGGAGACAAATCCCTAGTCTATCTGGCTAGAATGGGAGTCGTCATCACTCTGCTGATGTTATTCTGAACTAACCAATCCACCCTCTACCATTCCACCAATGGTTTGTGTATCTGATTCCAAAGCTGTTTCTCATTGTCTAGTTTCTGTTCTGTTCTGTTCCCTAACTTTTAAAAGCAATTTTCTATTGCCTTCTCTCCCAATCTTCTGAAAGCCAGGCCATGGCTTTCTTGCACACCATCTTTCTCTTGAAACTTTCCTTACTTTTGGACAACACTGACCTTTGCATTAGTGACACTGGCTTAATGCTCTGTACTTGAGCCCCTGGATTGTCTTTGTTATGGATCAGGCCAAACCCCCTCCAAACATTTCAAGGAGCTAGCCTGGACCCTAATCTCTTATCTTATTTATAGTCCAGTGTAAGGCACTGTATTCCAGATGTGATTGGATTAGTCAAACTACTAGGCTTTAAGCAAAACACACTTTATTTTAACCGTGGTGTAAGAATACAAACAAGAAAAGAAGAATTGGTATAACTTTAACTCTAACTCTATTGAAATGCTTCACAAAATAATATATTTTAACTACAACTCAAAGTTCTGATGTAGCAGCATCCCATAAATGTATCCTTGGCAAAGGCAAATTCAGCAGAATAGATACGCTCATGTGCTATCTGCAGTCCAAGAGTAAGGAAAAACTGAAAAAGTGAGTCTAACAGCAGAGGCAGAATTCTAGATTTTTACAGCAGCAGAGAGAGCTGTGTCTAGCAGCTTCAACTCCAACTCCAAAAGCCCCAGCTTCAACAACTAAAAGCAAAAACTAAAACCCTAGATTTGTGAGCCTGACTCTGCCCACTCCTGCTTCTTTTGTCTACTTTTTTAAAAAATCCAAAGCTATTTTGTTTTGCGTTGTTTTCCCTGGAGCATACACTTCAGCACCAGTCCATCCTGGTTCTCCCAGTGTTCTAAAACCAGTGCCGAGGTATATGCTCCATGGAGCGATAAGACAGACTGACTTCATTTGGGCTGGTAACACCAGGAGGAAACGTGGTTTGCCTCTCCCTTTCCTCACCTTAAAAACACTTAAGTTACAAAGACTGTATTTTCCAGTGGCTGGATAATCATTTCTACATCATACACTGTATCACATGTCAGGACCCTGCTGAATCCCCAGAGTTGCAGACTCTAAGGGACTTACCTGGAAAACTAAAGACTGTGATCAGCAATTCTCCTGCACCTGGCACCCTCTGAAAGTATCCATTTAAATCACAGAATTCAAAGGGTTCCATTTCAATTAAATTAATATTTGCCCAGGAAAGGTTAGGTGATTTAAAAACCTAGTGTAATTTCTGGGAACTTTTAAACCATGTCCCCCCCACCCCCACCCAATTTAGTGTATATGCCCTGAACTATATCTTTCCCAGACTGACATGGCATTGCCTTTCTCTTTCAGAGCCTACACCTCACCCCACTGGTTCTGAAAACCCCTGACTTATGCTAAACATTCCTCTCATACCTGGTACTGTTCCCACCTTGAGCCCTGATTTAGTCCTGGCATCCCTCCTTGCATTTAGCAATAGATACTTACCCTTCCACAGGAGCTGTCAAAGTGATTCTCTCTGCTGGATATTTAAACCACAGGATGCAACAATTACTGCCGTGAAAAATGAAGTGTTGTTTTCCACCCCAAAACTATCCTACAATGTGGGACCTGTTACGTTTAGGATGCCCTTAGTATTTCTGCAGGAGTCACAATTGGAATGTACTGCCAAAAATATGGAGCTCTTTGTTAAAGGGAAAATGTCGGAGCAGAGTGGCAGTTCTCAGAAAATCCACCCCATTAAATCACAATGTATTGTGCAAATTCCGAGCCTGGACTCGATGGCCATCTAACCTCCTGTGTAACCAACTTAACTTGATACTGCCAATTTAAAATTTCATACTGGGATAATTGCAAATATGAAGTTATTGCTTATCGTTTTCACTGATGGAATATTATTGATATTGTCTGCAGCTTATTTTCTGACAAACTCTCTGCCTCTTGATTGATTATGTTGAGTGATTTTAATTTGAAAGGCTCTTTCTAAAAATTACGCTTTATTATTTTAATTAATAGTTTATCTTGATAACTTCTTAAAGAGGTTCTCTTTTATCTAGACAGTGCTGTGTTGGCACAGAATTAGTGGACTGGATGATCCAACAGACACCTTGTGTTCATTCCCGCCCACAGGCTGTAGGCATGTGGCAGGTGCTGCTTGAGGAAGGAGTCATGAACCATGGTAACACCATTACCTGTTGTAATAAATGCTGCATCATTGCTATACGGTTAACAAATACGTAATTCACTTGCAGTCCATATTCTTAGTTAATCATGGTCTTTTATAAGGAAGCTTAAATTGAATGCACCATGATGTATTCATTAAGAACTGCATCCCAAAATTTTTGATTCCGCTGTATCCATCTTCCTAATGTATAACCGGGCAAAAGGTTCCAGAATGAACTCCATAACTTCTTGGAGAGTATGAATTCTAAGAGTCATTTATTTGCAAGGAAGAATTACGAAGATGGTAGGACCCAGTTATTTGATAGTTCTGTGATTTCCTGGTCAGGCTGCTTACAGGCAGACTCTTCATCCCCTCTGTATCTGATCAATGATGCCTGAGATCTAAGCTAAGAGCAGAGCTTCCCCTTTGCTACATGTCGACAGCTAAATTTTAATCCCACACTTTACTGAGAGCGGCGAGTGAATTGAGAGCCTGTTTCCCTGCCTTCAAATGGGTGTTGAGGTGGTCCAACCTGGAGGAGGACAGGTCAGCTGAGAATGCAGCCTGGCAATTTACCCATGGCCACACACATGCCTGCTGGCCATGCGTACATTTGGAAACCTTATAAAAATCCACTTTTAAAAAAACTTCCGACAGTGTCAGTGCTGAAGGCACTAGGGGATGTAATGACTGCAATCGTGCCCTGCAATTTCTTGAGGTCCATGTTTACAGCTGGTAAAATTATGGCCATTAGTTTTTTTTAAAGCTGTTTAAGTATGAATTATTGCACGTGAAAGGAAAATCATGCAGGCATATTTAATGTTTCTGATAAGAAGGAGGATGGTCCAGTCTCAGACCATGTCTATTCATCGTAGAGCAGCAATAAACAAAACCGGATGCTGGACTAGGTTACTCCATTGGAAGAGTATAATTCTATTAGTATCATACTGAACCTGCATGTTTTACTCTAATCAAGTTGCACTTCAGTGCTGCACGTGTTATCACCACTATAGCACAAAGAAAATATAGAAATCTTAGAACCAGTCAGAGAATGTCATTGAGACTGATTGTGTCAAAAACCGAGTTATACAGAAAGGGTAGAAAACACACTGTACTTGAATACAGAGTATGAAATTAGAGCATTGCTTTGGTTGAATAATGATTAAATGATGAATACAGATCAAAGGCATTCAGTACAAACTGGGGAAAAAGCATTTTTAAGACTGATATGGAACACTTGGCTGTGAACATTGATTATTCACTGGAAACAGGATACTTTTAATCTTTCAAGAAAGTATTAGTTACCAGCTATGATTTGTTATGATGGGTTTACAGTTTCTATCAACCTGCTATACGAAGGATAATTATTAAATTGTAGCGGGTACAGAAAAGATTTACCAGGATGTTACGAAGACTGGAGGGTTTGAGTTATAAGGAGAGGCTGGATAGGCTGGGACTCTTTTTTTTTCATTGGAATGTAGGAGGTTGAGAGGTGACCTTACCTATGTTTATAAAATCATGAGGGCCGTAGATAAGGTGAACAGCAAAAGTCTTTTCCCTAGGGTAGGGGAGTTCAAAACCAGGGGGCATAGGTTTAAGGTGAGAGGGGAAAGATCTAAAAGGGACCTGAAGGGCAACTTTTTCCTCACAAGGGGGTGGTGCGTATATGCCAGAGGAAGTGGTAGATGCAGGTACAGTTATGAAATTTAAAAGACTTTTGAACAGGCATAAGAATAGGAAAGGTTTAGAGGGTTACGGGCCACATGCAGGCAAATGGGACTAGTTTGGCATGGATGAGTTGGACCAAAGGATCTGTTTCCATTACTGTAGGCTTGAAGGCAAAAATTACTCCACTGTGAACGAAGAAGGACAAAGTATTGTGGAGCCTGTAAATCAAAGACAAATGAGAGCGCTGGAAAAACTCAGCAGTTCTGGCAGCAGCTGTGGAGACTACTATGGTTATAAAGTAGGGTCACTAGGCCCAAAATGTTGACTCTGCTTTTTCTCCACAGATGCTGCCAGACCTGCTGAGTTTTGTCCAGCAATACCTGTTTTTGTCACTTATCTCTCTCCATCTTGCTGATGCTATGGAAAATCTATTTTGTTTAAAGCAAATATTTCTACTTGAATAAAGTTTGAGATAGACTAGAAGCTAGATTTAAATCCTAACTATTTAAACCACTTGTATTCTAGTGGACCAAGAGCATAATTTCCAGGACAAGTACCTGTTCTATCGGTTCCTGGATGATGAACAGGAGGATGTCCCTGCACCCACAGATGAGGAGAAAAAAGTGTGTGAGGAGGAGCTACAGGAAACTATGCTTCTGCTTTCTCAGATTGGGCCAGATGCACACATGAGAATGATTTTACGCAAACAGTGAGTAAAATTAATTATACCAACACTCATTTGGTAAGTTAGAATTTAAAGCGGAAAGCTACTGCTGGTGTTATTTTATTTGTACATGATAAATCAACTTCAAGAAAGCTGTGATCATTATCTTATTTCTTATTTTACTTTCTAGGTTTGGTCATTTACCTCAATTACAGAACTCTTGCATTTGTTATAAAAGTACTTTTATTTGATCTGCACATGACAATTATGTTTATTTTGGAAGTTTACAGAGCTTGCTGTTTTACAAAATCATCTATGTTAGAACCCCATAAAAAGAGGGAACAAAGCCTTTCCTTTTATCAGGTTGATAGTATATCCAATATTGTCTCTTCAGCTTTCCATCTCAAATGCCTGAACTACTTCAATCTAGCTTTATGGATCCATAAACTCACGCAATGCCTTAATCATTTGAAAGAACAATATATTCAAAATATATATTCTAAATAGTACTAAACCATGTGCTGAAATACATACTGTTCTGTGCTTGTGGTTTTAAAAACTAATTTACGCATGCTACCGTAGTCAACCAAATTGAGGTGCCAGATTGTGAAAGTTGCTTCATGCTTCAAATAGCTTGAGACAAGTACTGGAGGAATGTGTTCCATTGTCACTTGGTCTAAGAGTCATTACAAACTAATGCAGTTTTGAATAAATTCACTTTCTTTTATTTTCTTTAATTTATAGGCCAGGACAGAGAACAGTCGATGATTTGGAAATCATATATGAAGAATTATTACACATTAAAGCCTTGTCACAGCTGTCTACCACAGTAAGCCTCTTGCCTTTAATTCCATGTTGACTGTATAACTTGTTAAGCTTTGATATAAAATATATTATGATTTAGTGACTGATCTTTAGATGGACTGGTGTGCTACAACTTGTAAGTAGCTATTTGTGTGTGCGTGAGCGTGTGTGCGTGTGCATGTGTGTACTTACCTTTTTGTCAGTGCTCTGTCCTTCTATCTTAGTGTTTTACTCATTCTCGTTTTCTCTTTCCTTTTTCCTTTGTTAATATACTTTGTATATTAACTGTTGAATTTTATATACGTGGCATGAACTATGAATTCACTGAGCTCCACAAATAGACACCAACTACAACAGCAGTGATTAGCTTAGGGGATGTATGTTTGTAATGAGTAACTCCAAATTTTAAAGTGTAAAGTCTGGTTCCAGTTCTGTTGTTCACCAACAGGCTTTCTGAATTAGAGTGGCGTAGAGAATTAAAGCGTAGTTGTCTGAATTTGAAGGCTCCAGATAATCAGAAACAACAATTCTATAAGCTATTGTGAAAAATGGCAAAACACGTGCAAATTGTCTGGATGTGATTGATCCCTGATATTCTTGGAGTCTGCACCTTATGACCAGTGGAAGAATGAAGTAACTATGATCACAGTCCTACCAAAGAGGAAACCAGGTATGACCGTGATGGTGTCACCTTCAAATACACTAAATGCAAAATCGGAAGCACTTTTGTGAGCTGGTAGCTTGTCAGTTCTATAGTGAAGTAGTTTTGGATCTTATTTACTTTTTTTGGATGCAATCCATAACAAACTTGATCTGTTAACTGTCCACAATGCATGGCCAGACTTTGATAGGTTCCAAAAAAGTCAGTCACTTGGATACAATATTTCATGGACTTGAACAGATTATTTAGAAGATTTACTGAATGACTGACAATAAAATTTGGGGATTCCTGGATCTGTGCATGCATGCTTTGGCAGGAAGATTAGAAAAAGCAATAATTAATTTAAATAGAAGTTGTAGAACTCCACGATACAGAGAAAGCTGAGTGTTTTTGGTACATGAATTAAATGAAGTTAATTTCTAGGTACAGCAAGTGATTAGGAATCCAAATAGAATGCTGTTGTTTACTGCAAGGAAAATGGAATATAAAAGGAGGAGAGTTTTTTGCTACAGTGGTGCAGAGCATTGAGACTACATCTGGAGTACTGTGCACATTTCCATCACCTTACTTGAGAAAGGACTCAAAGCATTAGAAGCAGTACAGAAAAAGGCTCACTTTACTGATTCCTGGGTTGAGGGATTTATCTCGTGAGGAAAGGTTGGACATGTTGAGCATGGTTCCATTGGTCATCTTTAGAAGAATTAGAAGTGATCTTATTGAAACATTAAGATCCTGAGGGGCTTGATGGAGTAGACACTGTGGATGTCTCCCTTTGTGGAAGGAATTAGAACTAGGGAACCGTTTGAAAATAAGGAGTCCCCCATTGTTGATGGAGATGAAGATAATTTTTTTTTCACTCTCTCAGGAATCATCAGTCTGTGGGATTCACTTCCCCAGAGTGCAGTGTGGACAATGGTACTGAATACTTATAAGACAGGTAGATAAATCCTTGATTAACAAGGAACTTGAACGTTCTTGAGGATGGACAGGAAAGTGGATTTGAGGCCTCAGTCAGATCAGCCCAAGCATATCAAATGGTGGCGTAGGCTTGGGACCAAATGGCCTATTCCTGTTCCTAAGTTGCATTAACATACATTTATTTTGTATTTCCGTGAAAGATGGTGAGTTTTTTTGATGTCTTGATGTAGTTTCTAGTGAGAGATCTATAGTTCAGTGAATCATCTATGAAAGGCATAAATGAAAGTTTGACATCATAAGTCAATTATATTCCCAAACCAGTGGATCAGCAGTTTACCTATTCAGGTCATTGTTATACCTTTTGTGGACCCGATCAGAAAGTTATACAATTTTAGATGGCTTTAGTTGAGAAGAATCAGATGAGGGTTAGGGGAGGTAGAGAAAAGAAAATTGTGCTAAATCTGCACAGATAATTTGAAATAGCCTACTTGTCAAATGTGAAAAATTGTGCTAAAAATCCAAGTGGATTAATGGTGAGCACGTAAGGCTGATAGTTGAGACGAGCGAATGGTGTGAAATCAATCCAAGTATAGGAGCATGTCTGATCGTGAATCTTCCATTGACATGTGACTTCAAGAAGAAGGTAGTTGCATGGATCTAAAACTATGGATTAAAGATTGAAGTCTTTCCATTCTAGATAAAATTAAATCGTTTGATGCTAATACGTGGGACAAAAGGTTGCTATAGACAAAATTGTGGAGAAATGAAGAAGGATGTGAATTCAGCACCATGAAAATTGCTAATAATCAGCTACACTGCATATTGATAAGCACTTTCATAGCTCATCCAAATAATGCACATCATGTGGTTGGAGGATTTGGTCCCATCAATTAATCAATTGCAAAATCCCAAATTGCCTTCTATGCTGTATGATAGTCCTGTAGCTGTACCAGGTACGACCATAGTTCCATGATTGCTTAGTAGTGCCGAATGTAAATGTTGTTAAAAGGAGACAAGGAGTCAATGTTTCTAGTTTTACACTCAAGAACTAGAATGCAGAAACAGCCATAACAAAGGGACACCATTTTAAACAGCAAAAAGAGGATGCTAATTGTTTGGGCCAAAGAGATGCCACAAGAACAGTAAACTGTAAATCTTCGTTCTCAGGCCAGGCATTTAGTCGCTGATTGTAATGAGAATGCAGCAGAGGTTGATTTTCTCCACGATTGTCTGTGTTTTTTTTTCTTATTCAAAGTGGTGCATGCCCATTTCTGAAGGGGCAACTTTTTTGGAGAGAAATAAATTTGAATGTGTCTAATCAGCAGGTCCAGAAGAAAAAACTAAACAGATGAACAGACAAACTAAACAGATGCATCTGTGACCTGAATGGTGCTTCTGGGTTTTATTTTTATCAGTGATCTATTTTGCTGAAAATAGTTTAAGCTAAAAGCAGATCATGCAGCAATTAGTGGTATCATTAAAGGAAAACCTTCAGGCATCTTCATGATGCATGTTGCTTAGCACCTAATAAGAATCAAAAGGAGAAAAACCTACAATTGATGTCACCTCCTCGACATAGCTAAGATTTACTTAGAAATGAAAAGAAAACTTGAATTGGAGGGAAAATAGAAGAATATAGAAATGGAAAGAGCTAATAGGGAAGCTGGAATTGGCAAGAGAGGAGAAGGAAAGAAAAAGCAATGGAAAGGAAGAAGGAATTTTTAAAAAGTTTAAATTCCAAAGTAGGAAATTGAATGAAGTGGTTTGGCTGATGAAAAGCTTGAAGTAAAGGACTAAAGAAGAGGTAGTAGCTCAAAGAATGATTGATTCCAAAGAGATTGAATTTAAAAAGAAATCTGCATAAATTTAGTGACGATGAAGTTGAAAGCTATTTTCCCTCATTTGTAGGGCAGTTGGGATGGTGAAGTGACTAGCTTTTGGATCTTTTAATGTTACAGAGCAACCTGCTAGACACATCTATGGTTGTGTGCACCAAACAATTTGCAGAATACGAAGCTTTTGTTCCAGATACAGTATACTTGGATTTCCCAAAGGCATTTAAAAACGTACCATTCCAAAGATTAACATGCAATTCAGGGGTGCACAGAGTTTAGGATTGTAGATTAGCTTAGTTAACAGGTTGGCTAATGGATAGGAAACAAGGTAAAGATAAATGGGTTATTTCCAAGTTGGTAGGCAACGAATTGTGGAGTGCCCAAGGATCAGTGCTGGGACTCCTGCTATTTACAATGTAGAAAGAAATGAAGAGTAATGTCTAGGTCGGCAATGATATAAAGGCAGTGAGAATGCAAGTTCTGAGATGCATGCAATGAGGTTAAAAAGTGAAATATATGGATTAAATGAGTAGGCAACAAAGATATCAGGTGGAATATCACATGGGGGGAACTGTATAGCACTTTGGTATTAGTGTAGTAAAGCAGATTTTTTTTGAGAAAAGACATGAAACTTATAAATGTTAATATTCAGGGATTTTGGTGTACTTGGTGTAAAAATAACAAAAGTTAGCACACTGATACAATAAACAATCCTTTACTGCAAGGATTGAAGGACAACAACAAAATTGTGCAGGGCTTGAGTGAGCTTGATATTGGAATATTGAGTAATTTTGACTTGCATATTTCAGGAAGGATACACTTCTTTAGGTAGGTAGTTCAATGAAGGCTCACTAGATTGTCTTTCAATGAAATTGGATCTTTGTTCTCTGAAGTTTAACAGAATGAGAGATGATCTCTTTGACACATGAGACTCTGAGGCTTCAAAGGGTAGACAGTGAAGTTGTTTCCCTGATCTAGAGAATCCATAGTACAGGCATGCCTTCCCTGGATCAGGGAGTGATCATCTAGGACTGAAGTAAAGGTGAAATCTTTTCAGTGTGTTGTGAATTTTGGGACTTCTCTAACCAGTGGACTGTAGATGCTTTTTTTGCTTTTCACTAAAAAAAGACACAATGCCTGGACATGCCCTTTCTACTCAAGAGGACAGAACCCCACGTATTATTATATGTGGCTTCTAGCAAGACCTAACTGATAATCTTGAAACCATTGTCAGATTGCTTGGTTTTCAATTTAACGTTGAGGTCCTTAATCAAATTTATATTTATAGGCTGATTTTCAAAAGTCTTTAAGTCCTGACTAATTACAAATCCACTCTGGGTACATGTGTATATTTTTACAAATTTCACAGAATTAAGTTTACCACATGAAATTCAGAAAAATAGTACTTAAAGATAGTGGATCTGTTGGTTTACTCTGGAGCACTAGTTCATCACCTCTGGCTGATTGGGCCTTATCTCCTGTTTTTGTTTTGTTGACTGACGTCCTTCAGTCTGCTCTGCTAACTGTGTATCCAGCTGCTAAGAATTACTGCTTATTAATCTCGCTAGCTACCACCTCTGAGGGGTCAGTGGACCTCTGAGCTAGTGTTAACAATGTACAAACAGCATATGATTTCAATTTCTGATGGCTGGTGTATGCCCACAATTCTGATTTGGTTCCCTAAGGGTGACGGTCATCTTACTGATGTCACTTCCTGTGATCTTCTGACTGATTCTCTAAGATGTCAGTCACTTTGAAATTACAGTACTGTCCTCCTCTTGTTCTCCAGAGAGAGAGCAAGAGAGACAGTCATACAACTCATGACCTCATTAGGTCATACAACATTATCACGAACCAAAGCTCATCACTGTCCTAAATCTCTACTGCCTAGGTTGTCTGATTTTTAAAGAAAAACCTTCTTTAGTTAATTGAAGGCAAATAATAATATAAAGCACCACGGTGCCATTGCAGGACATACCTTTTTAAAAAAGGTACAAAAACTACATATAAAACCAACTACAGAACTTTATTCCAAAAGTAATGCCTATATCTGTTAATGCTTTAAAGGCAACGACTGTATATTCTTTAAGTTCTTGAAGCTTTTTAAAAAGATATGCCAGCACATGGCTTTAGGTTTCAAAATATAGCTAGTTCACCACAAAGTGGCTTCACAGTCGGCCATAAATGTTGGCTCCCTCTAGTACTGTTTGTTAGCCTGGGGCCATAAAAGTATATGGTAAATTTCACCCAACAGGCAGACACAGATATATTGGGTAATGCTAATGTCCTGTTGGCCACATTTCATCAGAATATATCAATATTTCACTTGCTGAGTTATATTGTTATTATGTGGGATCATGAATCGTTGAAAAATAACCTCGATCCTATAGCCAGTGAAATTCTTAGCGCAATTTGGACAGCACTTGCTGAATAATTCAATCATGAAATCAGTGTTAGGATTCTGCTTTGAATTTTAAGTTGAAGCAGTTCTGCCTGAAACAGTCCCCAATTGGTCGAGCTACAGAGTATTTGAAAAGCTGTAGGTGCCAAGGTTGTTGCTGCCTCTGTCTGTCTATATCTCCCTCTGTCTGTCTCGGTCTTGCTGTCACTCTGGCTCCCCCTCACCCTCTGGATCTCTTTCTCTTTTTCTCTGGCTGTCTTAGCTTTATTGAATTTCTGAATGTTGTTTGCCTTCTCTCATTTTTCCACCCAATAGTGTATGTGTTAAACAGTTTGTCGTCTGTTTGGCTTAATCATGAAGGAGTTTGTGGGTGTTTGGGGATTTTAAAGAGGTCTACTTTAAATTACATGGTGTAAATTAGAAATCCTTTTTTCTGTTGTTAAATCTAATTCTTACAATAAATAAAATGTGTATACTGTTACTGACAAAACTTGGGTGTAAACTGCTTTTGTCTTCACTAGCAGTCAATTAGGGAGGCTGGTCATTTTAGTGGTCCCATTGGGATTTTATACATTCATAGGTTTTGTGATGGTTTGTGGAAGAGTAGGGCATAGTTATCAACACACTCTTGGTAGTTAAGTTGTGATGGAGCAGTGAACGTTAGTAGGTAGTCATTCATTGTGGGATAACGTACACTCTGTGAAAGATGTGAGTGAGATAATGTTACCTGTTTGCCGCCTTGACTTGCGTCAAATCAGAAAGGTTATCTCTAAAATTTAAACAGGCGCAACAAATCATTAACTATCTAATTATTTCACAAAAAGTGTCATTGTGCACAAGTTATTTTTGAAGCACCATAACAGCTATTTTTTAAGTTGTGGTTAATATTGCTTAAAAAGTCAGCTTAATGAAAGAACTAGTGTTTGTTTGTATTTTGAATCTTTTAATAATTTTTTTTTTTGCCTTTTTTCTAGGTAAAGCGAGAGCTTGCTGGTGTTTTGATATTTGAATCTCATGCCAAAGCAGGGACAGTGTGTAAGTAGTAGAACCAGTCCGAATAAAAACATTTAAATATTAGATTTATATCAGCCTTTTTAAAAAAAAAAAAACTTGGCCTTGGTTAAGTTTTCCAGGCAAAATAACCAAACCAATTGCAAGAGGCTTAATTCCTAATTATGCTGTAAAAGGACCTTTAGGGAAGACTGAACTTAATTAAAAATTCTATCCATTAAAATACTTTTCAATCCAAAACCAGAGTATTAAATGTAAACAAAGGAAAGCACGAAGGACAAGTTGGCTGTGATAAATTAGAAAAACACATTAAAAGGCATGACTAGCCTGGCATTTGATTGAGGTAAAGAGTTAAAGTAGTTTACAATAAATGTACATTCCTTTAAGGCACAAAAATCCCAACAGGAAAGATAAATCAACTGCGGCAAAAAGAGAGTTAAATATAGCATTAGATCAAAGGGAGAGGCACATAAGGCTTACAGGCGAGACAATGGCCTAGTATTAATACTAGACTATCAATCCAGAAACTCAGCTACTATTCTGGGGACCTGGTTCAAATCCTACCACAGCAGATGGTGCAATTTGAATTCAATTTCAGAAAAAAAATCTCGAATTGAGAATCTACCGATGACCATGAAACTATTTTGGGGAAAAACCCATAGGGTTCTCTAGTGTCCTTCAGAAATCTGTCAGCCTCACTTCGTCAGGCCTGTATGTGACTCAATTGCTCTCTGGGCAGTTAGGGATGGACAGTAAATACTGGTCTAGCCAGCGATATCCACATTCTGTGAATGAATTAAAAATAACATTGCAAAAAAGTATAGTAAGCTTGAGATTTGGGAGCAACTTAGAATTCGTCAAAGGAGGATCACAAAACTGATTAAGGGAGTTAGAGTACAAATGTAAAGTAGGAAGATACATTAAAAACAGACTGTGAAAGCTTCTCTAAGTATGTTAAAAGGAAAATATTAGCATTGACAGATGGGGGTCCATTTGCACACAGAATATTTCGTTATGGGAAATAGGAGAATTCAGAGAAATTAAATAAAAACCAAGAATTGCAGGTGCTGGAAATCTGTAACAAGAACAGAAATAGCTGGAGAAACTCAGCAGGTCTGTCAGCATCTGTGAAAAGAAAACAGTCCAATGTTTTGGTCCGGTGACCTTTCATCAGAACGGAGCTAAGTAATTACTTTTGCCTCTGTTGTCACAGATGAAAATACAAGAAAGACAAAGCAGCTTGCTTGATTGGCACAACATCCACACACATTCCGTCCAACACAACTCCGTAGCAGCAGTGTGTACATCGATAAGATGCACTGAGGAAATTCACCAAAGCTCCCTAAAACAGCACCTACCAAACCCATGTCGTTCCTGATGGATGTGGTCAATAGCAGCAGATACATAGGAGTACCATCCACCTGCAAATTTCCTTCAAAGCCACTCACCTTCCTGCCTTGGAAATCTAATGGTGTTCCTTCAGTCAAAATCCTGGAATTCCTTCCGTAATGGCATTGTGGCTCAACCCACTTCAGTGGTTCAAGAAGGCAGCTCACCACCATCTTCTTAAGGCCAGCTAGGGATGGGCAAGAAATGCTGGCCAGCCAGCGATACTCGCCTTTCATGAGTAAATTTTTAAAAATATAGAAACAATTGAAATGCGAGGGAATAGAGAGAATGAAAAACTGAAAGGAAATTAGATTGTTTAAAAGCAGTACTGGAAAAATTAATGGGATTCAAAATTGACAAAGATCAGGATCCAGTGATCTATTCATCTGTGTTAAAGGAGTTGACTATAGAGCTAATGGATGCATCTTTCAAAATTCTATACTCTGGAACAGTGCAGCATGGAAAGTTGTAAATGTAACCCTACTGATTTTAAAACAGGAAGTATGGAGAAAATGGGGATTCACAGTCCAGTTAGTGTGACATTAGCAGTAGAAAAGTATTTGAATCTACAGTGAAGGACATGAGAACTGGACACAAAGCTTAATTCTCCTTTCCCTGGAGGTGGTCAGGAAGATGGCAAGAATCAGTACAACGGGACCTTGATCAGATGGGCCAATAGGCCAAGGAGTGGCAGATGGAATTTGACATAGATAAATGTGAGATGCTGTACTTTGCAAAGGCAAATCAGGGCAGGACTTACACGCTTCATGATAAGGTCCTGGGGAGTGTTGCTGAACAAAGAGACCTTGGAGTGCATGTTCATAGTTCCTTGAAAGTGGAGTCACAGGTAGACAGGGTAGTGAAGGTGGCGTTTGGTATACTTGCCTTTATTGATCAGTGCATTGAGTACAGGAGTTAGGAGGTCATGTTGTGGCTGTACAGGATAACAGTGTGGAGCTGGAGGAACACAGCAGGCCAGGCAGCATCAAAGAAGCAGGAAAGCTGACATTT